TCATCCCCATGGGGGTAAGCACCGATGGCAGATTGGTAGACATTGAGGTGGGCCATTTGATTGTTCCAAACTGTTTCCTCAATTAGATGAAACAGAATACAATGTTCAAATTCATAAATAGGAAGATCTTATTCATATTTCTTTTATCCTCTCATACCATCACAATGTGGTGTTTTGATTGAATATTTTTATTATTTTGTGTATCATGAGATGTTATTGAATATACAAGTTATGGTCACACAGAAAATATTTTAAGGGCCCAATTTCCAGAATCCGACATACTTAGGTACATTTCTGTCTTGGCAAAGTGACTTTGGAAAAGTTACACATTGCCTATAGGTCTTCATCTATAAATTGCAACAGGAATAGTATTGACACCATAAAGTTATTGTGGAGATAATAAATGTAAAATAGTTTGCATAGTATCTTAAAAATAGTATACTATACCCTCCGTCAATAATGATAATCATTATTATTTTTGTTGTTATTATTACTATTTTTGTTATGTTGAAGAGACGAAAATATTTAAGTAAAAAATGAATCACATATTAGTTAATCTTTAAGGCCAATCTGGGGTTAGAAGTAAGCCTGGTTCTAGTACTAGGACAGGACCTTTGACTTCAATTTTATAATCTGCAGCCAGAATTCTATACAAGCATGTCTATGTCTAAAAAATAAGCTGCCTCCACTCACCTGTGTGCAATTGGAACCAAGGGTCTTAATGTTGTAATAGGACATTGAAGATGAAATAATCCTCTCCCTCCCTCTTCCAACTCTATTACCCTGGATAAGTTAATTTCCCTTTCTAAGGCTCTGATTTCTCATCAAAAATATGGCTATGAAAATAACTTGCAAATAAATCTTGAAGATATAAAAGCATAATATAAAAGACATTTCTTGCTATTAATAATTAATCAGTAAACAATGGCTATTATTGTTTAAAAGTTAGTTTAAAAATACTCGAGAAATTAGAGAATACTTTAAGGATAACGTGCTATGTGAGGAAAACATGGAAGTTATCTAGGGTTATCGAATATTATTTGTATTCTGATAAGATTGGCTCCTCATCAGTATCTCCTAATGTAAGTTTGACTTTCTTTTAAAGTTCATAAATAGTGCTTAACAGATGCTGAATAACTGACCCACTATTCTCATCATTTCCCACTGTAATCTCTTTATTTCTAATTATATTCGTATGATCTACTTTGAGAAATTTTTAAAGATGATGATTTGGGGGAAAACCAATCTAAAACAGCTGGTCATGATTTTCTTGAAAATATTTGATTAACAAGTTTTGATGAAAAATGTCATGAATGACTATTACAATTCAGATATCATTAAAGAATAAATATGGCTCATATATGGAAGAAATGGGAAAGAAATAATTTATGTAATCAAGACATGTTTTAAGGCTATTTAGGCAGTAGCAAGAGCGGTAACATTATATCATACGAACAAATGATTTGGTGAGAATAGTCTTTCTCCTTCCAATGTCTGATTTCTTAATATAAGATATTTAGGGCCACATTCACGTTTTATGATCAAATCAAATAAAATAATATATTATAGGCTAGGTGAAGATGGGCACACAGGAAATAGGGTTCCTATCGATTGTTTTGATGTAGGCCCATAAAATCTTTTCAGCATAGATATAAAGAAAGGAGTAAAAAAGCAGAAATAAATGTGTAACAGGGTCCCATTAATCAAAAATTGATCATTCCATTAAGCAAATTAAAACAAACAAAAATGAGAAGGGTAATTAATTGTGGCCCTGCTTTTCTGTACCAAATACTTAACATCAATTAACCTGTTCAGTTCTTAGAACAGTCCTGCAAATTCTGTCTTGTCATTTTCATTTTGCTGACAAGGAAACATGAAATTTGAAGTTAAGTAAGTAGGCCAAGATTCACTCATTCATTCAACACTATTCTAGGTGACTGGGCAACATCTACAGACAAAAATAGACAAAATCTCTGTCTTCAGTGAGCTAACATTTTAGCAAACAAACAGAGGCAACAAACATGTAATAAGTATATTATATAACATATTAAAAGGTAATGAGTACTATGAAAAGAAAACAAAAAGCAGGTAAAAGGGATCAGAAATCCTTGGATGGGGAGAGTTTGCATCTTTAAATGACATTGGATACATCTCTGTGAAAGGATGACATCAGAGGAAAAATTACTGATGGTGTGAGGGAGTTAGATATGCGGCTGTCCGGGGGAAGAGCGACTTTGACAGAGGGAGCAGCTGGAGCCAATAACGAAAGGTGGGACCACACCTGGCATGTTGGAGCACCAGCAAGATCACTGTGGTGGGGACAGAGGGGGCGAGAGTAGGAGAAGTCAGAGTCAGTGGGAGGGGCGCATAACAAGTTGGTTGGGGGGGGCTTATAGACCACTGTAAGCACGTTGGTTTATAACCTTAGTGAAGTGGGGACTAACTGCTGGGTTTTGAGCTGAGGAATGACATCCTATGGCATATGACATGTTTTAAAGGGACCGCTCTGGACGCTGCATTGAGAACGCTCAGGGAGGGGGAGAGTTGCGGTAGAGGCAGGGAGAGCAGCCAGATGCTATTGCACTAACCCAACGGAGAGATGACGGTGGCAGTAGAAATGGTAAGAGGTAGCTAAATTCTAGATAAAATTTGAGAGCAAACAGGATTTGCTCATAGATTGGATGTGAGAAAAAAGAGAGGAATTAAGAACAACTTCACAATTTTTGGCCTGAGCAACCCAGAGAATGAGGTTTCCCTCAACTGGGAAGGCGGCAGCTGAATGTGGAGATTTGAGGGAGAACAGTAGTTCCATTCTAGACATGTTGGGTTTGACATGTTTATTAAATATGCAAGCTGAGCTGCTGAGAGGCATTTGGATACACAAGTGTATAGTTCCAGAGAGAGGTCTAGTTTGGAGAAGTAAAGTTAGGAGTCGTTGATGTAGTATTTAAAAGCATGTGACTAGATGAAAATTACTGAGAGAGTGAATGTGGATAGAAAAAAAATAGAGAAAAGTAGATAAACACTTGACAGAATTGGGAAAAATAGATTATTTCATGCTGTTATTTAGAAGCTTTCCTTTTCACAATATATTATAAAATGGCTATATAAATATAGGTAAGCAGATCATCTTCATGGAAAAATATTGAAAATTCTGAACTTGATCACTTTACAGGCCCAGATGAGGTGCTTTTTGGTCATCAACCTAAACTTTGGACAAAACTCCCATAAACCCATCCGAATGGTTTGACACACTTTTCTTATGAATAACCTAATTTTCCAATATAATATCCATAGATGGCATAGTTAGAGACAATACAAGGGAAAAGTGAACAAGTCCATTTTAAGTATTTCCGCATAGGAGCCCTTCCAAATGTGTACATTAGATCTGGCAAATAAAAGCTGTCTATTTTATTACAGGAATCTGAACATCCTATTATCCCAAACTCTTAATAATTCTTTGATTACTTGAAAACTACTTTACAGTTTTCTTCAACTTCTTAATTCCCCTGGTTGCATGAAAACTAACTCCTTCATCTTTCCTTACATGACCTATTCTCCAATAGTTACATCTTACAAAATGTTTTTTTAGGGGGGAGGACAGGGGAGGAAGGGTCTTGCTTTATTGCCCAGGCTAAATTGCAGCGGTGTCATCGTAGCTCACTGCAGCCTCTAACTCCTGGGCTCAAGTCATCCTCCTGCCTCAGCCTCCCTAGTAGCTAGGACTACAGGTATATACCACCACGCCTGACAAATTTTTCTATTTTTCTCAGATATGCGATCTCGCAGTGTTGTTCAGGCTGGTCTCCAACTCTTGGGCTCAAGGGATCCTCCCACCTCAGCCTCCCAAACTGCTAGGATTACAGGCTTGAGCCATGGTGCTCATCCAAAATTTGTGTTATCAATACAGTTTTTCTTTTATAAACCTTTAAAATCCAAAGTAATAACTGGATTCAATTTAGGGAGGCTCCAAATAGTACAGCTCTTTTAGTAATGATCATTGTGTAATGTAAAGAAAGTAATAATCACTTATTTATAAGCACTACTCTTAGGCAGCAGAATACCTTGTGAAGCTTACAGAATATGGTTAGATACAGGGAATGTTCCTCTCCCCTATATGCCATAGGTTGAAAAATTTATTAGTGGATAATACATCTGTAGGTCCACAATACAATGCTAAGCGATGCTCACTTAAGACAGTGCTTTCTTACTCGAAAACCAATCAGGCATGTGTATGTTCAACAGGTAAAAAACTATCTTTTCCAAGAGCTGTGTATTCAAATAAAAAGCTACTTCTTAAACAAGAATGACTACAACATTTTCTAATGAGAAGGCAGAGACCATATCTAACTGAGATGTGTGAAAATCAGTGACTTTGAGAGTCTAGTAAATTCCTTTCAAGATCTGTAACCCTAAGTAAATCTCTTAATATCTCTGAATTTCAATTTCTTCATTTATAAAATGAGAAGGATGACATAAAAATTGCCCAGGAATGTGGTGAGGACCAAATGAGACAATGCAAGTGAAAAGTGTTTTGAAACTGCCAAGTTCTTTACAAATGTCAATTATGTAACAAATGTTAAAAATGGTATTTACCTGCATGACTATACTGTCGCAATAATTTTGACCAATTTAAGCTTGTTTGGAAAGGTCAGGCTTTTAGAAATTGGAAGTAAGATTCCGAGATTAAGCTAGATGCCAGGATCCTGGGCAAAAGGTGAAATCACAGACACTATGTTTTGTCCACTTCGGCCCAAGAAGGTCATTTGTTGTTCTGTTGTTTTTTGTTGCTAGTGATCAAAAGCCGACCCAAAGCAATCCCAGCTCCTTGGAAGGTTGTTTTTTCCTTTTGTACCAACACCATCACCCCAGTCCCTCCTCCCCGTCGTTTTTAGTCCCCTCTAAAGGGGGGACTACATTTCTTCAGCTCGGAAACCCCTCCTGTGCCTGAAGGGGAAGGTGTCGTGACGTCGCTCGGCCGGGATCCCTCTTCCCTCTGTCGTCCTCGGTCCCCAGGTCCCCGCGCGCGGTCCCCGCAGCGGCCCCGACAGCGGCGCGCCACGGCGCAGGCTCCGCGGCCCGAGCAGGCGCGTCAGCCGAGCTCGGCGGTCGCGCGGGCGGCGGGGACGCGGCTGCCCCCGCTCTGCGCCCGCTGCACCCCCAGCAGCCACCGCCACCTGGCCCAGAGCTGCCACTATCTCACCCGGCAGCTGCGGGCAGGGGCGACTCCGGGTAAGTGCCAGGGGCTCCACTTAGGAGGAGGGGACAGGGGCTGGGGCGGCGGCGGCGGTCTGGGGACCGGAATAGATGACCCTGCGGAGACAGCGGGTCCAGCCTGGGGTGGCGGGGCGCGGGGAGCACTGCGGCGTGCAGCGGGGGCCGAGCGCTGCCCTGCGCAGAGAGGGGCGCGGGGCACCGGGCCGCGGCAGCCGGGTCACCGATGCGGTGGCGCCCGCCGAGACGCTCGGGATGGAGGGATGCAGAGGCCCGGGAGAATCAGGGGACGCAAGATTGGCCGGGAAGGCTCCTTGCGTTGTGTTGTTTGTGAAGATCTTCCAGTCACTGCAGCTGTCCCTTTGAAAGACGGGGTGAAGACAGAGCAGAGCGCTGAATTTCTCTCGCCCCCTTGCAGCCGTTAGCACGGCCCCCCTGTTTTCCTGGGCCAGGATGTGAAGGTGGGAGAAGTACCTGCTGCTGCGGGCAAAGGTATCTGGAAGCGGCTGTCGCTGTAGGAGGGGGGCAGGGAGCGTCCGATGCTGTAAGTTGACAGAGGACAGAGCCTTTCGGTGATGGTGGTGGTCTGATAAGCCCCACTCTGTTGTCTTCTGTTTAAAGGACCAGGGAGAATTCCCGCTGGCTTGCTTTTGGAGTGTAAAAACAAAAGATAATATGGGGAAAAATCCTGGGCAAAAGGGACTTGAAAAATATGACATAGGAGAAGCAAATTTGTAAGGGTGAGATGGGAAATTAAGTTAATATTGAAGAATGTGACAGGTCTTACTCTGTGGAAAACAATGAAGAAGAAACAAATTATGGTTTGGAAATGAAGGATGCAGAAGAGGTTTAAATAATCCAGTGTTAGTAGACGCTTAAAGTTTTTTTTTTTTTTTATGCATCAGACTCTCTGACAAGAATAGAATTCTGATTTGAGCATGAGAAATGTTATTAAAATATGGCTAAGAAGATTATTGAAATAGTATAATCACACTTGCTGTTTTATTTCATATAGCGTTACCTAGAATTTCTGGAGTTCTCTTTTTGATTATAAATGTTATTATCACATAAGAGGGAAAGCTAAAAAGTTAATTTAATAATGCACCTTTTTGGGGTAAAACGTAGCTTGCAAATTTAATGTGTACAAATAAAAACGTGATGAATTTAGAGTGTGGAACTCTTCGATGCTAATTTTTTCTTTTATTTCTGTCAGTTTTTTATTACTTGGAATTGTCTTTTTAAAACACTTTTATTGTTTTTGAAAAAATATACATGCAAAATTCAAACGATATAGAAATTTTAAGAGAAAAAGTACTTCAAATGTACTGGCCCAAGATAAGCATCTTAACACTGTGTTAAACATCCTTCCAGGCATCTTTCTAAACACGTTTTGATATACTGTGCAATTCAATATCAGTTTACAATTTTCTGTAATTATAGAATCAGAAATTTTACATAGTAATCTATTATATCTCATGGGGGTCTTGTTTTCTATGTGCAATTATTTAAACTGACTTTTAATACTATATAAAAAGACTTTACTAGTACTTATAAAAGACACTTTAAATATATAGCAAAGTGTAACTGTGTAGGATTGAGCCATGAGGATCTGATGTATAAGTGTACTTGCCCTTTGGGTAGTAATGATCATGTTTCTTAAAGGGACAGTCATACAGTTACCATTTTCTTCACAAATGTAAATATTTTCCTGTTCTCTCTTGTAGATCGATCTTCTGAAATTTAACTTTTCAAGATGAAGTTTTTATTGGTGATCGCCTTTTTTATTTTAATTTCCTTGTGGGTTGAAGAAGCCTATTCTAAAGAGAAATCTTCAAAGAAAGGAAAGGGAAAAAAGAAGCAGTATCTATGCCCATCGTATGTCCTTCATGTCTTATATTCTTATATGGAGAAATGTTATTGCATTTTTTATAAAAGTAAGGTGGTTTATTAAAATACATATCAGCAAAACTTTCATATCAGAAAATATACACGTTTGTTTCATAGGTTGAAAATAACAGGATGAAGAGCAGTTTAGAATGTGAGTGAATTCCTAGTGTTCAAGGTAAAGTTTTATCAAGTTTTGTTCATGCCGTGGATTTATATGATTCTTATACATCTTTACAGAAATAGAAAAAAGTTACTAGTATTTCTTACGTTAAATGTGCAACTTTAATTAGATATTGAGATTCTACGTTTTGAGTAAGTACCAGTTCAAAAGATTGATTTTTTTAAAAATACCCCTCAGAGGTATATTCATGAAAAAATCAGATAGGTAAACTATGATCTTAAGGTCTGTTTAGTTTTTATTGATGCATGGCAGAAGAAAATTCACATAATAGAATCAATTTTCTATTTCGATATTTGTGAATGAGTTATTTTAGGAAATTAGGGTATTTCTCAAAAAGCATGTGATTAAATTTGACATTTGTAAAATCAAAATATAAATCTAAATACACCCCCCTAAAAGACAAAGTTTTGTGGTTTGGACTCTTTGTTTTTCATAGGAACGGTTACTATTACTGGTGAATAAAAGCAAATAATATCCAATAGAGCAATTTAATAGTATATATGTAAATACCTTTTACGAAATATAATGTGCTTTTAGGTAATAATGCAACATATGCAGTGATCTGCAATAAAAAATTAATTTGCCATTACAGGTCATTTTTCAAGTAAGATTTCTTAACTGTTATATTGATCATAGATAACATTTTATTCCAGCATCATCATTACTCAAATGTAGATTGTTCTACTTTTACAGATGTTCTGTAAGAGATATTAAGGTACATTTTGGGAAGTATGTTTCATAAAGAAAGGACATTGGAATCAGTATTTTGCAATGGCTATTTACATGACTACGAGCGACTAAAGGTCTGGAGACAGCGTAGTGATCCACACAAAGTCTAGCATTAAATAAAGGTCCATATTAAAGGATAGCTCCTGTTTCTGACCTTTAATAGTCTTGCTTATTCTAGTGCTACACAGTCTGACGTCAGGCTAGATTTCTGGGTATGTGACACAATGGTCCTGAATAATGTTTACGTGTTCTTCCTTGGTCATCTGCCAGGTTGCGTATCAAGTGGGGACAGTGTGGGCAGGTTTGAGCAAAACTACGATCTACAGCTATTGCTACTCTTCACTGTTACAGTTTCTGTGCCACGACCCGCTGATTAGCATTTCAGGGAAGTGGCATTGACAAGCCTTACTCTTCCTAACTGAAAGGACACATTTTCATGTTTTAGAGATAATTTATATATCTTAACCTTTTCTTTGTTGGGCGTTGACATATTGACATAAACAGTTGTATGTGTCTTGTAGTTATGATGATTCTATGTGTGAAGTCAAGCTGCCTTGGATCAGTCAGATTTCTCTGTTTGAAGAAGCCGATAGGGCTCTTGGTTTCTTCTGAACAACCCTCCCTTCCTGCCCTACATCCAATGTTACAATCAAACTGTCCTGAAGGTGGCAACAGCAAGTCTTATAACTACCGTATACCTTACAAGAGTGTTTTACAGGGCATTCTCTTTTCAGAAATACAATCTTAAATTGCCTTGTGTATAACCTGACTACATATACTTACAATGTCTGCACTTATTTCAGACAGATTTTTAAAGTTAAACTTAGTAGATAAAGAGTGAAATAATAAAAGTTCTCTTTTGGCAAATATGGAAATCTTCAAGTGGAAGACCCACCATATACCTGTTAAGCCCACTTCACAATATTTTAGATATATTGAGTAATTAACTGAAATTTAAACTTTGAAATTTATCATAGTTTTAAATTTTTTTATTTTTGTAATTATGAGACTAGATAAAGCTCTAATAACAGTTGTAAGGGCGATGCTGATGAATATCTGGCTCATTAAAAAGAAGATGTACCTTGGAGAATTAGAGTTGAATATTTGTATTTGAGTATTTTATTAAGGGTTCTGGCTTGATTATCACTGAGTTATAAACTTCAGAAGCCTGGAGTTGTCCCCGGCTGTGATTGGATCCATTACATCAAATTTCTTCAGACATCCAGATTAAGAATCTCAGCTACAAGAATGGTCTGTGAAAGAATAGGCAAATTATTTGTATATTAGAGAATAATCCAGTTTTCTTATCTTGTGTAAATTGACAATATATAAAACATTTTGATTAAGAGGAATATTTGAGATTACAAAACCCAGGAGTACAGACCACCATAGTACTCTATAGTATGGTAAAATTTTTGCCCAGGTGATATTTTGATTTGTTTAAATTTTTGTTTTTTATCAGTAGCATTGGGAGGCAATGGGAGTGTATAGACATAAACGGTTAATATGTAGCAATCAGGAGTGAAAGCTTCCCATTTTATTGTTATGACAACGTTTCCCCCCAAAGACTGTAATACAGGAAACATGTTTTAGAATGTAGGAGAAATAAAGGACTTGGGCTTCTAGGCTATAATTTTGATAATAAGTTTGAGTCGTATCATAAACTTTTCCTGGCCTCTTTTGTGTTTCTTTTTTTTAACCCACATTGTTTTGAGATGCCACAGAATCATAAATTAATGCTATTGTTTGTTATTTTTTGATGTGTAAGTGGAGCAGAGGTACCAGCTTGACAAAGTGCCTGGTAAATTTGCTGCCAAAAATTTCTGAAATTTAATGTGAATTGACAAGTAAGAAATAAACTTTAAATTAATAAAAGTATTTTAGATAAGTCCTTTTTATTTTAAGCTTGAATTTGACATGGCCTTTAGTCTATTGTTCTTCCCTTTGATTTTCCATTCTGCCTGAGTGATTTTGTCCAAGTCCATCTCTGTAACTACCACCTATTCACTGTTAACTCCTAAGTCTGTGTCTAGCTCAGACCTCTCTAAGGAGTGCCCCACGCTTACATCCAGTGTTTCAACCTGACTGTCCCACCCTGACCTCAAACTCCACTCAAAATAATAAAACCTGAATTCAGAACCTCTTTTCACCACTTTCTCAGCAAATGACATCACTGCCTCTTTTACCTAATTAAAATTCTGGGGATCACCCTAGACCTTCTCTTTCTACCTTACCTTCTGAAATTCAGTAGTCACCAACACTTGTCAATTCAGAGTCCTTCCCTGTGTGAAATATGCCATCCTTTTTGTCCCCATGTGTGCATTGCTTCACTTACTCCTCCCTGCCCTCTTTGGCGGACTCCTTCTGAGTCACCCTGCTTCTTGTCTTCCTCCATCAATTTATATTCGACACTGGCCCTATAGTATGTTCTCCAAATCTTAAATCTAGTCAGGTCATTTTCATATTGAGAGCTTTTTAGGACTCCAAAGCTTTCTGGATAAGGTTGCAATTTCTCAGTCCCACACACAAGGCTCTTTGATGGAGTGGCCTCTGACACCTCGGCAGTGTCTTTCCCATCCATCCCAGCCCCTGCCCCAACCCAGCCCACATGAGTCAGGTCTCCTACACACTTGCTCTTTCATGTCTCTGCAAATGTTCTTGCCTTTACATAAAATGCCAATACTTTCCTTCTTCCTTGGTTAACCCCTGCTTCAGTGGTCTTGTCCAGATTCATGGCTAAAACTACCATTTATTCACCATTGATTCATAAATGTATGTCCAGCACAGACCTCTCTGAAGAGCACCACACCCAAACATCCAACGTTTTAATCTGACTGTCCCCAAATGACCTCACACTTAACTCAGACTCAAACCCTATTATATCCTTTGGGAAACCTTCCTAATCCTGGAAGTCTGGTTTAGATAACCATATTCTGTGCCTCCACAGTTCCATAATTGCCTCTGATGTTTATAATACTGTATGTTACTCACCAATTGTAATTGTCTACCTTCCTAGATTGTAAGCTCCTTGAGAGCAGTGTCATATTTGACTCAGTCATTAGGGAACAACATAGCACCTCACACAAAATATACATATAATAAAAATTTGTTTAAACAGTGAATAAAAATTGAAAGATCTTTGGCTATCTCTTATTAAGTCAATATAACTGGATTTTGTCAAGTTACTTGAAAATAAGTTATATGATCTCTACTGGATAATATTTAGAAATGTAGTCTCAATATAAGGAAAACTGGGTGAGTTAACTAGATAATTAGTGGAACATTCATCCTGGATTATGTTTCCTCTTAAAATTTTGGCCTCATCATATTCACCATTATTTCAGTGATCAAAATAAAACTATACAGAAGAAATACTCATCCAAACTGAGGATATGCAATATTGGGACTAGCAGGAAAGATGTGCGACAGAATTAGGAACCAGTATGATTTTAAAGGGACCAAGTGATGGGCTATGTCTAACAAGATGGAAAGTATAAATTGCACTTTAGTCTGGAAATAACTTGTGCAAGTATAGGCAGGGGAAAACGTAGCTTGGCAGAGCACATTTTGGAAAAATACTGTATAATATCATAATCATGATACAAATATATACACATATGTATATAGTGTTTAAGAAAGAAAGTAGTGTTTTATTTTACTAATCTTAAGTATATTACTTAATAGAATTATTTAAAGCAAAGTTTACAGAGATTTCTGCACTGTGATAGTCAATGTTTTTAAGAGAGAGAAATAAGAATAGAAGTAATTAAAATCATGTCATATTAAGAATTTGAAAGTTGTCCTCAAATTTTTGAAAAACTGTCATGTAGGTAAGAAAGTAGACATTGTTGCTTGGCACTGATAGTTAAAAGTGGGACTAATGAATAGAAACACAGGGAGCAATACTTTGGGCTCCAAATTAAGAATACTCTCTAATAGAGTTCTGCCTAGATATAATTGACTGGAAAGGAAGGTACTGAAGCCTGAGTGCTTCCAGTTATGTGGGATAATTACTTGGCAGGCATATTTTAGAAAGACTTTGAGCATTGGCTAGGTGGTTAGACCAGATGGCGATATT